GAACACAGTCCTAACCATGCAAAAAAAAAACAAAGCTTGATGACATTGTGAATTGTTCAAGTGGCCATCAGAATATGGTAGATTGTGGCAATTAAACTATCATCTTTGGATATGGTTGAAGATTTGCCAACAAAATATTCTCAACAGCAGTAGTATCCAACTCCCATTCTTTAGAACAACTAGACGTACTCTTCATCCGACCCACCAGAATCTAATAATGGCTTGCTATCAGGCCTCCCCAGAGCTGAAATATTAATAATGAGGAGGTTAAGTCATTTTTAGTGACATTACAAGATGAACCGAAGCTTCGAGCAATGGCGTAAACATCGGTAAGCAGATACAGAAGTTGCTTACGGGCCCACAACCTCTTAGGGGCCCCATTACTGACACCTGGTAGGGCCCCTACGCAATTATGGGATAGGACGTCTCTTTGCAGATGTATTAGTGTGAAAAATTGCTCTAAAATCCACCTGATCCTGAAGTGACTGACTGCACCGGACCATATTTATACCGCAAAACATTTCAACATGATGGTGAGCCGTTTAAACACGACACGAATAGCAAAGCAGACAGTGGTACTTTTAATTACTATGTTAATAGCTGTGTATAGTTCATTAGACAGTTGGTAAAAAATACACTCATATAATATGTTTCAAACCGCAATAAAGATCTTAAAAGAACAATGTATTTGAGTATATTCAATAAACATCTCCCTGAAATGATTTTTTGGAACTTGGGATGTCTGTAACATGTGGTGGTGCGCTGTCACCAATGGTTCCATTCAAGGTGTGCAGACACTATTTTTCCAGGTGAGATGTGTGATCATATACTACTGAGAATTGCATAACTGTGTCTTTTTGGCTGATTTATGGAACTGTTGCCGTATCCTTAACCTTCATCACGTGTTGTACTTCATATGGGGACCACCCAGAAAATGTTGCTTATTGTCTTGTTGTTACGCCATTGGCTTCAAGGCTTGTGTTGAGTAGTGGAAGGGCCGTTTCTACGAAGCACATATTGAGGCTTGCTTCATGTAGAGGAGGAGACAAAAGAGATGACGTCCGAAACCTCGCTACCACCATACCACTTGAATGCTTTGGGATGTGGTTCAGATATCCCGCAAACTTTGACAGAGATTTAAATAGCCCCAGTATTTAATCAAGATGTGAGAGTTTGTAGGAGAGTTGAGGTAAGTTGGGAAGAGTTTCCATATACTCTAAAAAATAGATTGGTCAAAAAAAACAAAAACAAAACAATCTAGTTAGTTAAAGCAATTTAGGTTAGATTAAAAATTGTAATGATCAGAAACTGACCAAGCCACTGGTTTCAGTTGTATTATTAGAATTAAGTACTATTACTTTCTGAAATTTTGTTAGTTTGCATTTCTATCCAATGATTAATGGTTTGAGGCCTGTCCTTTGCTTTTGAAAGTTTTACTACCGGTACTTAACCAGTAGTCTGGTCAAAGTGACCAATTTCTATTGGTTTGCACTTTTACTAATATAGATCAGGTTAAAACACTACCACATTAGACTGGTTGTTTTAACCAAAACATTGGTTGGAAACATAACTTCCAACCAGATTGAAACCAAGAGCTGTGGAAAGACTATTATTTTTGGAGGAAAATGAGTAATACCTTTCATTTTGCTCATCATTGCCTAAGTTGCACAAGCACCAAAATGACAGAAAACAAACAGTGTGTCTTAAAAGATTGTTCTTTTCTGAGACATTTTGCACAAAAACCTTGCAAGACCACGCCATCACAGGTCTGAACTGCTAATTCAAGGCATTTAAGATCCATTTTTCTTGACCATTTAATATACATGTGACAGGTGAAACTATTTTATTAAAGTGATGTTTTTCTATTATAACATCTTGTTGAGCCTGTGATAACTTGGAGAACTCCCAGTTAACCGGCATTTTTTATAATACTCATCATTGTGTGACTGAAACCAGCAACCAGTACCTGTCCAATACATCTTTATTACTCTCTCTCTCATTCTGATGCTGTTTTAATTTCAAAAAGTTGTATTTGTATGTTCATATGTAGATGACCAAATGAATCTATTTTCATTTTAATCTAATTCAGGTTATTTTATTTATTTAGCTCCAATTCAAAACACATGTCAAGGCACTTTACAGAGACAATTCAACCAGGTCCTACAGTCAGATGGGTTTGAAGTTTTCTATCTAAAGAAAACCAGCTGATTGCATTGACTCAGCAGCAATCCCTTACACCAAGCACGCTTGTAGGAACAGTTGAGAGGAAAGCTCCCTTTTAACAGGAAGTAACCTGTGATAAAAAAAAAGGGTCCATTTATCCTCCAATGACAATCAAAATGTCATTTTGAATCATTTTGAATTGAGAAAGCTTCCTGGATGGGGAGCGAAACATCTTCAAACCTTGGAAACCAAGTCCAGTGGATTGTTTTTTAAACTTTTATGGAACTTTCATTTTTAGCTCTATCATGGAGCTACTAGGATCTGGCAACACCTAAGCTCATCACACCTGACTTCAAACTACTATTCACATTGGTTCAGAATCCTTTAGTGATTGATGACATTCAAAAAGGTTTTATCTGCAATGGGGACTATAAATCTGATATTCGTGAAAACAGTACTGCTGCTGAAGCTTCTCGAACATGTTGTTAGCATCCGGATCAGTAGTGAGAAGTTCGGTAACCATTCTTTGCCTGCTTTGTGTGTCAATTGTGACAGTTGCTAGGTGATAGAGCATACGGTTGAAAGCCAGAGAAGGCCGGACCTGTTTGAATCCATAGTCAAACTCCTTATTTTCATGGACCTAGAAGGACCCAGTCCAGGTCCCATCCTCCGAGGACCTGGGTCCTTGGAGGATACAGCCTCTGAAATCGAACACAACCTTTATCTTTAAATAGCAGCAAGGGCTGTTGAATACCCCTCCCACTTCCGAAGCACCAACAGGTGGTTAGTAGAAGCCTCATCATGTTAACTTTGTCAGCAGACAAAGCAAAGAGGAAACTGACCCATAAAAGCTTATCCCCAGGTGTGCAACACATTCACTGCCCTATATCATAACTAAGTATTGCCTGCAGGATGGGTCTGTAACAGTTCAGTTTGTAGCAGGCAAGAACATCCTAGGTTTGATTCCAAGCCTATAGGATTTCAGTTGTTTTTCTCTGGGTACTCTGAATTCCTCCCACAGTCCAAAAAAAAACATTACTGTATAGTTTGCATGTCTCTAAATTGCCCTTGGGTGTCCAGACGTTTTTGTGTTTTGATGGGGACAGGTTGCTGGGGCCAGACACAAAACAAGCAACAGCAGATTTTTCCCTTAATCTGAATTTAGTAAAATGTAGATCTTTATTTTCATATTTGTTTTAGAATTTCTACCCTGTGCAGCAAGGATATTATTACCTTTACATAAACTATATGAACATTACAGAAAATGGACAAAATTAAATATCTTTAAAGTCTTCATGCAAACTCTGGTAATGAGTCAATATTTAAATCATCTCCGGTTTAGTGTTACTTGTATTCTAAACAGATTTTTATAATTTAACACCGGGTGAAAACATTTGTAACTAGGGTTCAATGGGGTTCAAGATCAATTGAATAAAAATAGTACTTTTTACTCACTGTTTTGGCATTTTAGGTGGTCACTCGTGTACATGAAAATGTTGTATGTTTAATCTCCTCTTTACTTTATTCCAAAAAACAAAATTTACTAAGGCTGATATTAAAAGCACTCATGTGTGATCAAACAGCTGATATGATAAAAAAAAAATTCATATCCAAGTTCATGCCTGTTGTTTGTATTAAATTACCATTTGAAATCGGCTCTTATTTTAATCTCTTCTCGAAAATAAAAACCCAAATACTCTGTGGTTTAAATAATCTAAGAATACATTCAAACAGTATAGAGTGTAAAGAGTCAGACTCAAAGGAGTTCCACGTCCTTGTATGGTCCAAGTTGAAGACAGAATATTGGTGACGTTCATTGAGCCATTTGCCTGGCATCAAACCTGCCATCCATGGATACAGGTGGAAGCTAGTTGGTAATATGTAAGGAATGAGTGTCGTTTTTCACTGAGCTCTGTTCACTTCTAGTGCTGCACATCTGATTAGTGCCTCTCAACAAACCCTGCCTCAACCACCTGCTCCCACTCAATTCCTTCAGCCTCTGATATGCTATCATCACTGCAGATTAAGACTAATGATCCTTCTCTATGTTGAAGTCCCCCTGACCTATCAGAAGCATACATGTGTATGTGAAAGAAATGTAACAAGAAGGTACATTAACTCTAAATAGCAGAGGCTGTATTAAAATACTTGAATAAAGAATTTCCCACGATAAAAAGCAACCTAATTATGATTCCCTGTGCAATTCAAAACATTTTCAGTAAAATCCTTCATTTTTAGTTCAAGTGTATTTGTGTGACACCGGCTCACAGGCAACGAACGTTTCCTTCCTATAAGGAAGTACTGGTACATGTGAGCCCCGGAGACAGGAGGCCGTGTGGGTCAGTGATAATCATTCTGAATGGACAATACCACAGATAGGTTTGGGTGAGCTAACACACATACTTGGTCTGCTGGGGAAAGCCTGCAGGAACTAGCTGTGAATACGCACTCAGGCTGTGGGGTCAACAACAAAACACCCAGATAAGAAGTCCAGACGTCCCACTTCCACTTTTTAACTTTATGTGAGAGAGTGCGTGTTTTGGTTAGTAATAGAATTAAAAAAACAAAGGCAGTTTTTTTTTTAGAAAGAATAAGCTAATATGCAGTGAAATTCACAACAGTCTTGATGTGCAGTTGTAAGCATGATGGTGTGTTAGAGGAACATCGATAACAATCGATTAAAATGTTTTAATAGTAATAGCATCACTTTGTATTAATTTTGATGTCCCCAATTTTGCCTCTCTGGGAATTTCTGGAGGTTAAAACTTCTTTGTTCCACATGGTGGTGTCATTTGAATCACAGACTTTTACAGGATTCTATTTTTTTTCTTTTGTAGAAAAGACTGGAAGACGTCATCAAGGAAGGGTGAAAGGGAGGAGAAGGAAGGGTGGACCAGGGGTCGAGTAGACACTGATCACTGATATAGATATAAAGACACAAACTGACCTCCTAGGACTTCTATTCTACTTACATAATGCAATAAAATAATAAAAAGCTCACTCTGATGAAACTGTCTTTTTTAAAGGCATGTACAGAAATATAATATAAAAACCGAGTAGATAACATAAATTTACATTCTATCGACAAAGAGGAAAATATACAACAGAAAATCTCCATTAATAAAAAAAAAAACTTTTATTTAAAGACATGACCACCTTTATCTATATTCTGATAACATAGATTGTGATTTTCATTTTCAGTGCATTTACTATGTTATGAATCAAAAGGATAGTCGATCCAGACTCTGTCCAGGGATTATTTTTGGCACAATCAGTTAAGGTTGAACCAGCAGCCTTGTTGAGCTTTGAAGCTTTTTCCTATGCTGTAAGTTACCAACTCTTTGTCTTAACTCTTTTTCACACAGGGAACTACTTTCCTTTTGTATCGTACCATAGTAGAGAAAGGGCTGTCCAAATGCATTAATAGATCCACACTACATAAGTGTTGGATCTATTAATGCATTTGGACAGCCCTTTCTCTTATTTTGAAAGGTCATCTTTACTCTTCCCAAGTTTGACTTTCTATCTGGCTCAGAAATTTAAATGTTTTGTTCAAAAATAGACTTGAACCCTGTTTATGATTGACTGTTGATGGGAGGGAGCATACAAGACATTACTCCGCAATTTTTTTCAAGAACCCAACCCTCTCAGATTCTAATGTAAACACTCAATTAAAAAAGTTGTTATTGCTATATTTAAGAATAACATACTCCTTTAGGATTATATGTAGTGGAAAAATATCTTTCCCTGTGAAAATATGCATCCTGAAGATGATTATCTGAGTCAGGTAGAACACAATCACAATGTTACTTCTGAATGCAATAATATCAGTTGTTGATGTCTTAAAATCACATATAACTTGAGTTGTTTTCTGTTAAACTATGAAGGGTATTATAGATTATCCACATAAAAATTTCATCAAGAATTTGATTAAGACTTTGTTTTCAAAAGATGGAATTCTGAATCTTCAAATAGAAAACATAATAGTTATGTTAATTAATAGTTTTAAGTTAGATTCGATAAAAGCAAAAAACTGCAAAAAACAAAAACAAACAAACATTGTGTTGTATACTGTATGACATTTTGTTTAAGCATCCCGTTAAAGGAAGACAGTCTAATTTTCAGACTAATAAGTGATCAATACTGTTAGATTTAAGCTTAAATTTCTTATTCAAACTGGAGTGATCCTTACATTTTCCAAGATAACAGCAGTTTAAAGAGTGATATGTTAAGGTTGTTACAGGCTTTTGCTCAAAGGCCGCTTTAGATAAGCTCCAGACTGTGAATAACTGCAGGTATAGAATTTCATGTGCTTGTTAGTTGGGACAGATTTACTGAAGGCAATTTTCCAATTTCTACTAGATCTTAGAGCTTGTTCAAATTTATTTTGGGGCTTAAAATAAAAAAGAGAGACAAAGCAGCAACATTTAATTATTTTATATCATTTTTAATTATCCTTACCGAATTTAAAGTGTTTTATTTTTTATTTTTTGCTAACAGTATGAGCCCAATATTTTGACCCTTTTGACTTGTCATATTATATATATATCTCTTATTGCGCTTTTTAAATGTTTTTTTTTATGTTTAATGAATTGTATAAACAGGACCGGGTATGGATGTTTTGTTAAAAAAAAACAGAAAGAGGAACATAAATGTCATTTCTATCTCCATTCTTATCAGCAGTGGAACGGAGGACACAGGCTGCCCTTCCTTGTCCTTGCAACTACAGACTCTTGTAGGAATTTGGGGCCACTGTTACCATTGTGCTGTCCTGCAGGAAGTATGGTTCACTGCTCACTCCCAGCATTCAATGGGTTTCCTGTGTCAGGTTACCATGTCCTGTGTTTATTTTCTTAGCTTTTTTTTCTGTACCCACCCTATAGGATTTTTTCCAGCAAGTAGAAACCGTACAAAGAAGAGGATGACACTCTCAGCTGTGCAGATGTCATGCTAAGGAGTGGTTTTTAAACACACATTGTCAAACAGATGAATGAACGGATTAATTAAATTTTACCTATATTGTAAGTAAGCATCATCAGGTGTCTATAAAGTATCAACTGAGTTACATTAACCAAAAACATGAAGTTTATAAATCAAGATGTGTGTAGATGAGAAATGACTGTCCTGTTTTAAATATATTACACTTACCAATAAGGATTTCATCCCTGCAATTCTTTTTACCACTGAAAGAACCCTAATCAATTTCAAATTAACCAGTTCATTCGATGGACATGGTCTTTGACAGATAGGCCTGTTACACCTTGAAGAGAAAGCCTGAATGAAATACTTTAGGACAATTTCTTCAAAGTAATTATTGCTCTGCTTTTTTTGTTCTTGTTTTCCCCACTGTCTGCTCCTTTAAAACAAACTGCTTTGGAAAATTTCGAAGGGTGTGATTGATAGAGAGCATGAATGATGTATAAAGTCTATTTTGCTGGGATCAATAGTGAATTTCATTAAAACACTCCCTGTACACACACAGACCCTCACAAGGAGCACCTACTTGAGGTATTGTAATGTTTTTCTTCTGAGATAAAGGTCCTCCTCTGTATTTAGATGAACACACCACAGTGAGTATGAGTTGTTTTATGATCTTGAATCAGTGCCTGAAAATGGATCTAATACTGAGACTCACACTTTACCATATCTTCCACTGATAAGGCTTGGCTTAGCACATCCTTCCACAAAGCATTCACCTGCATGCTAAGCTCTGACCTCTATATTTAAGTAACACAGGCCCTCTTCATTTACCTCTGAGAAATTCCCCAAGAGGATAGTTCACCTCTACTGTCCTTGCACCCACTCTTGATGACTATTCTGCTCCTGCATTCAGACCCCATACCTTTGGAGTGGCGGTGAAACTTGAAAAGGTGAGTTAGATTTATATTTTTTTGATGACATTTAATTATTATTATTTTTTATTATTTGTCCAGAAAACATTTATTCTATTGACTGTGTCTCCAGGAAAAGAGCCAAACCGAAAAAGATGATGACTGATTTGGCAGGAGGCGAGTTACTGTACACCTTGGACAGTTCCTCTGTGCTTAAAGTAGGGCAACACTGAGACACACAGTTGTTCTTGAACACAAACAATCTGATAAGTAGTTTCAAGAGATCCATTAACTAAACATGCATGATCTTGTCTCTGACAGGAGGCCAGAGTACCCAGAGAGAACCCAGGCATGCAGAGTGACATGCAAACTCAAACTCAGGAAGATTTCAGTAAACTATTCTACCCTAAGGATCTGCCTGCTGCTAGGTAAACATGCTTAAACATTTCCCCCACTGTAGCTGAAAGATATTTTAGTTAAAGTGATTTGTTATGCCTGGTTTTAACACATTTTTCAAATCACTGCCTTTCTCAAACACAAGCTAGAGTAATAAAAAGTTTATCTCTATGTTGTTCAAGCCCACATTACTAGCATGAACAGTGAACTGGAAAATGGTCACAAGATTTTACTTGTTAGCACCACAGCCCACCCTAAGATGATAATTACTGTCCATATGAATGCAGTATAAAATGTTTTTTTGTGAAGTTGTTTATTAATTCTTTAACCCTGTAATTGTCCAAATTACAATTTTTGGCCACCTGAACATAAATACCCCTTTGCAGCAAGCGAAAACATTTTGTGGGGTTAAATGTGGTCTTCATGGTTTACAAGGTGTATCTCTGTAAAAAATTGTGTTTCATAGAAAACCACCATTAATCTAACGTCTATTGTGTCGGAAATGCAACCTAGTGGAAATTAAGTAAAACAAACCTAACAAGTAAAGTTAAAAACTTTAAACTTTAAAAAAGCTTAGTAATAAGGTGAAAAAAGCATTAGTGTTCTGAGAGTTATGTTATAACAAAAAAATGTCTGTTCTTTCTTTCTTTCTTTCTTTCTTTCTTTCTTTCTTTCTTTCT